TCTAAGAGGCACCATTACACCTATAAATAGACTAGTCCTCACTTGATTTTTTCACTCAATTTTTGTCCAAAAAATTCTACAATTACTCTCTATAGTTTGCTACATTATTTTCTTGTGAGAAAATGTATAAACACAGTGTGTTCGTTGTACAAACAGTTTGTAGTGCTGTTATTGTTTGTTGTTGATCATTTTATCCTGGGAGATAAACGTCCACATTCTGAAAGCACCGTGGAGAGGACGAATCTGTCTTAAGGACACAGTGTTAAACACTGGACTTGATCAGAAAATTTGTCTAAGAAATTAATTTGGTAAGTTATTAATTTATTTTCTGTTTTATTATTTTTCTATTTCAGATTTTGATTTTGTTTTTGTAACAAAATAAAAATCTATTTTTTTTATTTTATTTTATTTTTTGATTTGATTTTTGTAATCAAACAATCTCTCTATTTTTCTTTATTTCTTCTGTATTCCGTTTATTGTTAAGTACACAAATAATTTTTTTTTTTTAAATATAGTAAAAATTGTCTAACAATTTTAAAATTAGAAAAGGCTGGAGAAGGCGCAAGCATACGCATGCCTTCACATGCATCTGGGTGTTGTTTGGACGGCTGCATTGTGTCACACATGGTATGCATATGCATGTTCATCTTGGTCTTATTTTTCATTTTTTTTAAAAACAAAAAATAACAATAATATTTGTACGTGGTTTTCATTTCTGTGTGAAAATATTTTTTGATAATTCAAAAAATAATTTAAAATAGGTATTTTAATAAAACTCCTTCGAAGGAGTTAGCTTCATGTTTATGGGTAGACTGGGGTGGTGTTGTCCAGCATATTTAGGCTTCATTATGGCTTTTGGTCGATAATTTAATCCATTCATATTATAAGTTATATTGTCTCTAAATTATTCATGAAAAAAAAAATATTGATTCAATAATCATAATTATATAATTTGATTATATATATCTTTGGACAATTTTGAAAATCATCCTTTATGTTCATTTATTTAAATAGAATTGTGATCAAATCACGTGATTACGATAATCATGTGAGAGAAGCTAACTCCTTTTTGAGAATAATTTTCAGGTTTTGAGAATTTTTTTGAAACGAAACTTTTGTAGGAAATTTAAAAATTGAAAAAAACAAAAAACAAAAAGAAAATAACTTTCTGATCCATCATAAGAGTGAGAACTGGATTGAAATATCACTCCATCACATGGATTTCAAGAAGTAACAATCTATATGATTGTAATCTCTCAAAGATTTTTTATTTTATTTTATACAGTAGTGTAGTGATGTTGTCTTGTTTGGAGGGTATTTTTATTTACAAGTTTTTTCTTTCGGTTTTATGGACTCAGCCTGTCTCTAGTTCATATATAATAGATTGGTCTAGTTCATACACTTGAATTCACTTTGAGCTTTTATATCAATGATTGGATTCATTAATTTTTTAGGATCTTGTTTGTCAACTATTCATAAAAAAAAAAAATTGGATTGATCTGATAATTAAGTGACATTATTTCATCACATTAATCTTTAAAATAATGGAAAAATTACAAACACACTCTTGAGGTTTACTTAAATTATAAATTATCCCTTGTGGTTCTAAAAATTACATTATGCCTCCGAAAGTTTTTAATTTCATAACAAATAGGTCATTTTATTAATAAATCATCAAATTAATTAATAGTTTTTAATAGTGTTAAAATTTTATTTCAATTAATAATTTAGATAATTTTATTATTGTATAAGTAAACAGTTAGAAATTGCACTTTTTCAATTAATTCTATCAAATAAAATTTTTTAAAAGGAAGGTATTTGTAATTTTTCAAACCACATGAGACAATTCATATTTTAAGCAAATCTCAAATGATGTATTTGTAATTTATCCTAAAATCATAAACAATAATAAATTTTTAAAAAAAAACAACCCTAAACAAATGTAATTAAATCCTTGACTAATTTTATGACACCAATCTAAATTTATTTTTATAAATAATTTACTTTTGAAAAGTTTAAAAAATAATTATTTAAATAATTTAAATAGAGCCTCTGATGGACCACGGGCTTGAACTATATAGTCATAGAATCTACTTTCTTTGCGAAAGCCCAATCTTCTTACACGAGAGGTTGGGGTTTAACACTGTGTTTGGATTGAGTGATTTGGAGAGAAAAGGAAAGAAATAGAAATAAATGTATTTTTCTTCCTTGTTTGGTTATCTTAAGTGGAGAGAAATGGGAAGAAATAGAGAGAAATGGAGAGAAACTCATTTCTCTCATAACCCTTATTTTCAATCTTCCCAAAAGTGGAGAGATTGGGAGAGAAAAGAAATCCACAAATATTTATATTTTCATAATACCAATTTTACCCCTATAAAAATAAAAGAAATAAAATGATTGAAAATATAAAAAGGTTATTTTGGTAATATAACATAAAATAATTTCTTTTCTTTTCTCTTAATGAAATCTAACCAAACAAGAAGGAGAGAAATCACAATCATTTCTTTTCTTTTATTTCTTACTTATCCAAACAAAAAGGAGAGGAATTACAATCATTTCTTTTCTTTTCTTTTCTCTTATTACTTAAGTAATCATTTCTTTTCTTTTCTCTCCTAACTTACCAAACATAGCGTAAACGTGTGCAAAGGTTTTTTTTAACTCTATCTGTTTACCTGTTCAATCACTTACGTTGCGGTTAATGAATTTGAAAAGATATTTGATAAAAAAAATGGTTGTGAAATATAATTACATTTTATTTACATTTTAATTATTTTTTATTATTATTTTTCTTTCTAAATTAATGAACTAAATACAACCTTAATACCTTTTCTTCTCCATATCTTTAAGAATAGGCTAGATGTTTGATCTCTAAAAATTATTAGGTATAAAAATGAATGCACTTAAAAATGGGGATGGGGATTAACAAGAAAAAAAAGAAAAAAGAGAGAGGGACACCAATTCGAAAATTCTTGGGTGTTAGGAGGGTATCATGTGATATGTCAAATGGTGCCTTCAACCAATCACAAATATCATGGTCTCCCATGTCGTCTCCTCATCACCCACTACATAAATGTAAGCTCCCACTCTCTCAACCAATAAGAGAAGAGAAAAGTATCATATGACACCTATCCTATCTGCACCCAAAAAAATTTCAATAAAAAATGCCAACAATGTTTAATATTTTGTCTTATGGTGTCGGTGGCATTAGCTACAAATACAATTGTAAAGCTGCGAGCTCTGTTAACAGTGTCGTTATACATAATACTTATATATTAAAAATTATTTATCATCTTATCTATTATCATTTTGTTGAATCTCACTGTATATCTCTATTATCAATATAATAATAAAATATCACATAATAAACAACAAAAATCAATTTATTGATGATATATTACATAATTAATCAAATATAATAAAAAATATATAGATATCATAATATTATTATTATTATTATATTTTTTAGAATTCAAGAGGGCGTTAAATATTAGATCTTCCAATCTCGAGAGGAGCATTTTATGAATCTTACTTAATAGTTTAATTGACTTGTAAATTAATGGATGTAAATAATGATGACAGGATTAGTTAACTAATGAGTCCCCATGGGTAGTCGGTGCGGCCCCATTTGCTTCTTCAAGCTATCCAAAATGGCTTGGCATTTTTTGACCAATTTAAGTTATTTCAAAATCTATGAACATCATTTATTTCCTACCCATGCAACTGATCAAACAAATAGTATGATCAAAGCAACTTTCTTTATCATCTTATTAGAATTTTTACATACACAGAAATATGTCACAAAACAAATTACAAAACACTCACCAGTGAAATTAAAAATACAAAAAATTTTAAAGACAGAATATACAAATGTAAGATAAAAAAATTTTTCGCATCTATACACACGTATTTGAAACTTTATGTGTTAATAGACTTTTTCAATACTCACAAGATGTAAGTAATATTCTCACAAAAAAGCCATATGTGGAAAAGAAAAAAAAAATAGACAAGATCTTATGTACTCAAAATTTATGTTTATATGTTTGTAATACATTTTGAACAATGCAATGTGGTTGGAGTTTTGAAATACAATAACTTTAAAAGATCAAATCTTAAAAAAAAGAAAGAAAAAACTTCAAAAGATTATAGATTATCAAATTGTTAAACAGAGAAAATTCTCTGTCAAGATACTGAATTCCATTTTTTGGTATTTAGAATTTTTTTTTTTTAAACAAAAAAATGACGGTTTGTGGAGGTATCATGGCACCAGGGTAACTGGTTGTTTGTCAAATTTAACTCAAGTCATAGAAAGTGATCCATTACCAAAACATCCAATAGATCTCATCACGTGCCATCAAAATAAAGTACAGAATCTCCGCAGAGTCTAATTTTATTCACTCACTTAAAAGATTGATGAATATTTTTTTATTACCATTTTTTTCATCAAATTTCAATAAAAATTTGAAGAAAAACTCTCTTTGATATTAAATGTTCTAACGGAAGATTTTGCAGCCTCGTCAAACCACCGGTCGACTAGACAGTGCAAATTTTTCATAATTTTTCTTCTTGAGGTTGTCATTCGGGAGGTTGACAGGGCAGACGGCCAAGAGGATAACCAGGCGGTCGACCGATTAGTGTAATTTTTTCACAAACTTTTGCCTTGAGATAGTCATTCGGAGGACATCTGGGAAATATCCAGTGGTAAAAATCTAATGACAATAAACAGTGATTTGATAAAACGTATATTGGCTCTCAATTTGATGAAAGAAAAGTGAAATCCTGAATTTGATATCAATTTGATGAAACTGTTGGAGCTGAAAAAGTAATCATTTTTCATCAAATTTAAATTTAATAATAAATTTAAAGCATGATTAGAAATGATCTTAATATGAAAAACAAAAAAAACAAAAAAACAAAAAAACATAAAAGAAGAAAAGAAAAAAAAGAAAGAAAAGAAGATGTAATGAGAACAAAAACATTATGTGCTTCATATGAACTCAATCACTGCATTCGTAGATAGAATTAGAGAGAGAGAGAGAGACAGAGAGAGAGTGAGTGTGTGACATTCCACTTTTGGTGAGGTGGAGGCATCCCTTGTGGGTAGAGAGAGTTCCTTTCTCTTTCTCACTTTCTCTCCACTTTCTTTTTACGATTCTTCCTCTCCAAACACTCTCAAAATTAGTCCTTTCTTACATTATAATTTAACAGACTCCCTCTCACTTCTTCTCCTCCTCCTTCCATTCCATTTCATGTTCTTTCTTCTTTTCTCTTCCAAATCTACCCCTAACCATTTCAAATCATGACAGACAAAGTCTACCCCTCCGCCAAGCCCACCACCACCACCACCAACGGCACCGCCACCGGCGCCACCAACCCACCACCCAAATCCCACCTCTACAACCCCAACCGCCTCCCATACCGCCCCCAACCCACCCCCCGCCGCCGCCGCAGCCGCCGCCGCTGCCTCTGCCTCTGCTGCTTCTGGTCCATCCTCATCCTCGCCGGCCTCCTCCTCCTCGCCGCCATCGCCGGCTGCGTTGTCTACGTCCTCTACAACCCCCGCCGCCCCACATTCTCCGTCACCACCCTCAAAATCTACCAATTCAACCTCTCCACCACCGCCGACGACACCACCCACCTCTCCTCCACCCTCAACCTCACAATATCCGCCAAAAACCCAAACAAAAAGCTCACTTACTTCTACGATCCCATCTCCATCACCGCCCTCTCCAACAACCTCGAAATTGCTAATGGGTCCTTCCCATTATTCACCAGTGACCCCAAAAACATCACGCTGATTCGATCTTCGCTGTCGACTAGCTCGCAAGTCGTCGATGCCGATTCGGTGAAGTCTCTGAGGTCGGATCTGAAGAAGAAAATTGGGTTGCCAATAAAAGTAGTGATGGACACGAAAGTGGTGATGAAAATGGAGAACTTGAAGAGCAAGAAAGTGAGAATCAGAGTCACTTGTGATGGCATTCATGGTGTTGTACCAAAGGGTAAGTCTCCATCAATTGCTTCCATTTCTGATGCTAAATGTAAGGTTGATCTTCGAATCAAGATCTGGAAATGGACTTTCTGATGAGTTCTGATCTTGTACCAGATGTCCAGAGCAACTCAACTGTTGTTTGTTTTTTTATATCTATATTTGTTTTGGGTTTGTGAACTTTTTTGAGAAATGGGGTTGTTAGTAGAATTAGGAGGAAAATGGAGGGTCACATTCATAAAATTTCAATGTTGCTTATATTAATATGGTTTTCTGGTGTAAGTGAATTTTGGATCATTTTGTGTAGTGAACTTTTGTAATGCCATGAGAATGAGAATTATTTCAGCAACCATTGCAATTTCCTTGTACTTGGTCCTCTTTTACTTATTTCTATCTTTTTTTTTATTTTCTCTTTCATTTTGCCAGGAACACAAAAACTGATTATAATATCAAATATGGACAACATTTTATACTGTTTGTTAATTTTTTTTGATGACTGATATTCGGACCAATTTATGCAGACGTTAAATAATTTTGACACCTATGCAGAGTGCTTCCTTACGTAGATTGAGAAATTTGAGTAAAATTCTCGGGCGTGACCTCAATGAGTTGAGCCTAGACTCTCCAAATCCCAAACTGCACCTAATGAACCTAGACTCCTAGACCCCAAACTGCACCTATTACGTTAACCCGTTAGAATTTCATGGTAGTCGTGGGTATCGAATATATTGATCCGTCCAAATCGATCGAATTAAGTTGATTCGTTACATTTTGAATAGATGCGTAATGACGAATAAACAATTACAGATTGATTTTTTTTTTTTAATCCACCTAGTTTTGAACGAATGGTGGATTTGAGGTTCTTTTAGCCGTAATCGAACCGCCAAACCACGAGCAACCCTAGTAATTTGTAAGTCTTTGTGTTTTCAATTTATTTACATATTTTGTTTGTATTTTCAATTGAAAAAAAATTAAATATTCTGTTAAAAAAGAGTTTTTAACTTGAATATATTTTTTGAAAAATTTTTAAAATGTTTGTCTACCTCTTTGTTAAGAGAAATTCTATTCGCACACCACTTATTTTTTCAGTACACACCATTGCTAAGTTCACACCACATCCATTTTTTATTTGTCTTTTCTCAATGCACACAACATGCTTCCTACAATACCCTCACCCTAACCATCCACCACCCCTGCAGTCCCCTATGTGACTCGTAAACAACCCCCCCCCCCTCTTCCCCCCCCCCACCCCCCGCCGCCGCCGCAGCCGCCGCCGCTGCCTCTGCCTCTGCTGCTTCTGGTCCATCCTCATCCTCGCCGGCCTCCTCCTCCTCGCCGCCATCGCCGGCTGCGTTGTCTACGTCCTCTACAACCCCCGCCGCCCCACATTCTCCGTCACCACCCTCAAAATCTACCAATTCAACCTCTCCACCACCGCCGACGACACCACCCACCTCTCCTCCACCCTCAACCTCACAATATCCGCCAAAAACCCAAACAAAAAGCTCACTTACTTCTACGATCCCATCTCCATCACCGCCCTCTCCAACAACCTCGAAATTGCTAATGGGTCCTTCCCATTATTCACCAGTGACCCCAAAAACATCACGCTGATTCGATCTTCGCTGTCGACTAGCTCGCAAGTCGTCGATGCCGATTCGGTGAAGTCTCTGAGGTCGGATCTGAAGAAGAAAATTGGGTTGCCAATAAAAGTAGTGATGGACACGAAAGTGGTGATGAAAATGGAGAACTTGAAGAGCAAGAAAGTGAGAATCAGAGTCACTTGTGATGGCATTCATGGTGTTGTACCAAAGGGTAAGTCTCCATCAATTGCTTCCATTTCTGATGCTAAATGTAAGGTTGATCTTCGAATCAAGATCTGGAAATGGACTTTCTGATGAGTTCTGATCTTGTACCAGATGTCCAGAGCAACTCAACTGTTGTTTGTTTTTTTATATCTATATTTGTTTTGGGTTTGTGAACTTTTTTGAGAAATGGGGTTGTTAGTAGAATTAGGAGGAAAATGGAGGGTCACATTCATAAAATTTCAATGTTGCTTATATTAATATGGTTTTCTGGTGTAAGTGAATTTTGGATCATTTTGTGTAGTGAACTTTTGTAATGCCATGAGAATGAGAATTATTTCAGCCACCATTGCAATTTCCTCGTACTTGGTCCTCTTTTACTTATTTCTATTTTTTTTTTTATTTTCTCTTTCATTTTGCGAGGAACACAAAAACTGATTATAATATCAAATATGGACAACATTTTATACTGTTTGTTAATTTTTTTTGATGACTGATATTCGGACCAATTTATGCAGACGTTAAATAATTTTGACACCTATGCAGAGTGCTTCCTTACGTAGATTGAGAAATTTGAGTAAAATTCTCGGGCGTGACCTCAATGAGTTGAGCCTAGACTCTCCAAATCCCAAACTGCACCTAATGAACCTAGACTCCTAGACCCCAAACTGCACCTATTACGTTAACCCGTTAGAATTTCATGGTAGTCGTGGGTATCGAATATATTGATCCGTCCAAATCGATCGAATTAAGTTGATTCGTTACATTTTGAATAGATGCGTAATGACGAATAAACAATTACAGATTGATTTTTTTTTTTTAATCCACCTAGTTTTGAACGAATGGTGGATTTGAGGTTCTTTTAGCCGTAATCGAACCGTCAAATCACGAGCAACCCTAGTAATTTATAAGTCTTTGTGTTTTCAATTTATTTACATATTTTGTTTGTGTTTTCAATTGAAAAAAAATTAAATATTCTGTTAAAAAAGAGTTTTTAACTTGAATATATTTTTTGATTTTTAAATCTAACTCTAAAAATAATAAATAAAAAACATGATATATACTGGTTGGTTTTGTTTTCAAAAAAAAAATATAGATGTAATTATACAGAGACATACAATTTCTATTACTGCTCTGTTAATGATTTTGGTGGTTTTATATGAATAAGACATGCTGTGATTGTAATATGTGGATCATGCATACAATGATTTTAATATTCTAAAGTTTTAAATTTTCTTTCTTTAGATTAGACATGCAGTAATTGTAATACTTTTTTTAAGTCGTTGACTGTAAATTTTTTTTTTTTTTGAAGAAGTGCACAGTTGAATTATATTGAAAATTTATAATATTTTAAACCGTCAAACTGATTCGCATCCATTTGCCAACCCGTTCAATCCACATCCACCAGATTGAAGGGCGGATGCAAATTGATTTTTTCCAATCTAGCAGACAGATGACGGATTGAAAGTTCTGTGACCGCAACCGATCTCCGTCTACCCCTAATGTTTGTTAATAGAATCCACTTACAAATAATGTTATTTGTCTATATATATTTTATATTCAATTCTATAATCGATTTCTCTATTTTTAATCACAATTAAATTTTGGATAATATTTAATATGAGTTTTATATGAACCTACTTTGGGTTTTTTTTTTATGGAAAAAAATGTGGTTAGTATAATATAAAATGTTGTATTAAATAATATTAGGGCAAATTACATATACTTCCCTTGAGATTTAGTTAAATTACAGATATTCCCTGAGGTTTCAAAAATTACAGTTACCCCCTTAAGGTTTATATTTTCATAACAAATTATCCCATGAGGTTTATATTTTCATAACAATTTGCCTCCTGATTTGTTATGCAAATAATACTTTCAGGGGGATATCTGTAATTTCTCAAACCTCAAGGAGAATCTGTAATTTTGCTAAACCTCGAGAGATATATGTAATTTGCCCATAATATTAATATAATATTTAAATGTGATTATCTGAATATTATTTTGAGCCATGATAGAGACCCCCTCCATTCACCACCCCCACAACCCCCACAGATACGTGGCGGGTGGTGATTGGAGGAGCAAGAAAAAAAGAAAAAAGAAAAAGAAAAAGAAAAAGAAAAAGAAAATGTAACTAATGAGATAGAGAGAGGGGGGTCAAAGGGGGTGGAGGGAAAGGGGGCATAAAATATTTGTGTATTATTTTATAGAAGAATAATGCTTGGGACCCCATTTTGGAGGTCACCCCCTCACCCCCCCTTTGCCACGTGGCGGGTGGTGATTGGAGGAGTAGGAAAAAAAGAAAAAAAAGAAGAAAATGTAACCAATGAGAGAGAGAGGGGGTTAAAGGGAGTGAGGGGAAAAGGGGGATGAATCATTGTTGTTTATAGAAATGAGTTAATGTAAACTATCTTATTAATGAAAAAACGGTTACTCTTTACCCTATTTGTTATGATGATATTACCATGATGGTTAGTGAAAAATTAGATCCATGAATTGCTACTTTGAAGTTGATGATGCCCTGTCATTTATGAAAGCAAATAATAATTGTTTTCGATCATGTAATAATTATATTGGAGTTCCAAAGCATTGTAAGTACCCAAGTCAATGAAGTATTCGTTATGTAAAAGACTGCAAATCAGTACGTATGATAAAAAATAATTATAAATAAAAAAGAAATTTTTCTTCTAAGGTTCCTGATATTAAAATTTTATAACATAACAGATATTTAATATTTTCATAATGTCTAAAGTCTCTCAATTTAATCAAGAGAAATTTTGTTCAGAGAAATTCTGAACTTCTAAAGAATTTCTCGGGGTTCAACCCAGAAAAAATTCAAATTTCTTTAGTTCAGAATTCCTCTAGAACTATAAAACTCTGATTTGATCAATTTGTCTTTGGTTCTGTTGCTGCTGATTCAATCACAATTTCCTGTACAAACAAATTAATAGTTCTTCTATGAGTTTGTGATAGATTTTCTTTAAACTTAATGCTATGAATTTCTCTGGTCCAGAATTTCTCCGGATATAAATTTTTTCCAGAGAAAATGAATGAAGAATTTCTCTTGATCACTTTAAGCCAGAGAAATTCTCTCAAAATCAATGAAATTCCTAAAGAAATATTTCGAAAGAAATTCTCTTTAACCTAGAGAAAATTCAGTTCAAATATAAAAAAAAAATCAGTCCAAACCAAAGAATTTCTCTGGACTAATCCAGAGAAAATTTAGTTCAAATCAGAATTGATGAGGAACATAAAGTGTTTTCCATTGATTTTGATCTATTTGAGCAAAAAGTTACCTGTAGTTGCCTGATGTTTGAGTTTGAAAGAATACTATGTAGACACGTGCTTGCAGTATTCAAAGCCACAAACATCTTTATGCTTCCACCACACTATATGATGACTCGATGGACAAGAAATGCCAAGGATGAGGCAATGTTGGATGTAATACCCTCTGTTGAGACGAACGGAAATGCTCAAAGAGGCAAGAATTCACAATACAATGTTTTATATCAAGAAGCAATTAACTGTGTGGAGGAAGGGATGGCATCAGAGTATAGTTTTAAAGTGGCTTTAAGTGCCTTAAGAGAGGCTAGGATAAAAATTCTTGGTGCAAAGAAAATTACTGTAAATGTCCTGAAACTTGAAACCACGGTCAGCACATGCTATCAGGATGAGAACAAGCAGCCTGAAAGTAACGATGTACAAATACTCAGCGCTGGAATAGACCTCAGCGACACAGAGCCTTCGTTTTGGCACTCTCGATCCACTGTGATTCCATTCTTCTGTCCTCGATTCGTCGGAGTCAGCAACATGATGGTTATGAGATCGAGATCGATGAGAGTGAACAGAGATCTCTCTGCGTGATGATTTCTTCGACGGCGAACTTGGCAATGACGACGGGCGCGCGGCAGACTGGCTCCTCCGAATCAGTGTTGAACAACCCTTCGAATCGATGTTGAAACGGTTCATGGTTGATCGAATTAGAGAGAGAGAGAGAGAGAGATTACATCTAATGGTTGAAGTGAAAAGCTTAGAAATGTGTTCATGTGTATAGAAGGAGAAAGCGAGAGACTGGAATTTCTCTGGATATATGGGTGTAGGATTAAGGGACTTTAGACATCACAAAATAATATTGTGGATCTTTTCCATTATCAAAAGTGGAAGAGGGACTTTAGACTAATTTTTCCTAAAAAAAATCATAGGAAAGTTATTTTTTATTTTATTAAGGACATTTATACACAAGTCCTAATTTATTAACTTATACTTCATTAAATTATAACTAAGATTTTTTAGATCTTCAAGTCCTATTAAATTTTTAATAATTGAAATTGTCCTTTAAACAATAATTATTCATTATTTATGATTATCTATAAATGAACATGATAATTTGCCATTTATTTTGATTTTCGAAATTTTAAAATATCAACTTTCACATTAAAAAAACTAAAAAAAAATTATGTGTATATGTTTTTTTTAAAAAAATTGAAAAACTAATTTTTTTTTGGTGCAAAGTTGAAAATTTTGTATTTATAAAAGAGTATGATGATGAAACATTGATATGCAAAACTGCAAAGAAAAAAAAACTTTAAAAATAAAAAATGATAATGTTTTCAGTTTTAAAACTAGAAAAAATTGATAATTTTTTGGTTTTATTGGATAATTGTATCAAACCAATAAGTACAAGAACAAAAACGTTTAATTTCTTATGCTTTGTTTTTTTTTATCAGTTAGTGAAACAATTATCTTAAATATTACTATGTAAAATTGATAACGTTCTTAATTTTAAAAATTAGAAAAAAATGATAATATTCTTAATTTTACTAAATAAGACTTATTGATTCAAAAAATCCTAGATAAGATTTAAGCTACCATAACATTTATAAATTGGACTTTTAAATAATTAACTCTTTTATTAATTATTTAATAAAAGTTAATTAAGAGAAAAGATAAAGAAAATTTTTTTTTTGCCCAAAATAAAATCATTTTGAGCAATTGAACCATTCTGATCAATGAAGTTTCGAGCTACCTAACAGCACTGTATTTCTCAAGATCAAAAAAAAAGTGGAGTGTGTACATGTGTGTAAATGGATATCAAAGTGGTTAAACCAGAAGGAAAGGAAGGTATTCAATTGATGTCTGTCTGTGAGATCTGTGGTAGGTGGGTCCCACCCATTTGAGGCTGGCTTTCCTCCTTTGCGTGCATGCCAATCACTCTCTCCTCGTGCTCATATTTGTTTTGCATTAAAAGCATATTCATAATATTTGATATCAAAATATTATAATTTTATATACTTCCTCCGTCCCAAAATAATGGTCCCTTTTGGGGAATTCAACTTTTTTTAGTAGTACAATTATTATACTTTTA